GGGTCTGGCTCCGGGTCGGGGCCCCGGTAACTTTATCCCAGGCAGGGTGAACATCACCATTAAAGCTGTTTTTTAAGTTATCGTCCCTGCAGAACCGTCTGCACCATGAGATACTCGTATGCTGAGATCTCCAGTAACTAGTATCATCTGGAGTACAGACACAACATCAGAATTAAACTGCTCAGCAAAAACAAATATGGCTTTATGTTATGAAGTAAAAATGTAAGTGAAACACAGGAAGTGCAATCAAAATAAAACAGGTGGGAGCTGGTCTCACTGTTTCTTACATACAACCAAGAATCAATAAGTAAAACTTTGTTTACAAAAGCTGTCATTTATGTTTTATTGCTGTTTTATTAAAGCTCAAAGTTTTGTTGAAGCGGTGTTTCAGGCTTTGAGGGTCAGTTAGCAAAGTGACCAAAAGTCTGTGGACACACCTTCATGTTCAGAAACCAACATCATCATTATCACGTGGTCCACCTTAACTCAGCTAGCCAATCACAGCACAGCTCTGAGAACTCCGAGTGCCTCACCTGACCCGGAGAGTGAAGGGTTAAACCCTGCAGAACCTAAAAAAACACACACACACACACACACAGTCATGTTGTGCAACAGTCTGAAGCAACACAGCTGAGCAGGGTGGAGTGAACAGGAAGTAGAGAAGAAGCAGAGTGGGATCTGCAGGGCGGTGCACTCTTCTGGACAGACAGACTGCACGAGGGGTGAGACACGTTACTGCTTTAACTCGGACCTCTGCCTCCACACACTGTGTTGGTTTTTGTGCTCTACGGGGACCTGGGTGTGTACATGCTTCTCTGAGGACTTCGAGTGTATTGTGTGTGTTAGTTTTTGTGCTTTATGTGGACGTACCAGAGGTCTGTGCATCTGACGACTTAGTCCACTGATGTAGACCACCTGTGTTTATTGTGAGGCTACGTCCCCAGGATGCGGATCAACACACGTGCACATGCTCAGTGTGTCCTGTTTGGACATAAACAGCAGTGAATGTCAGGAGGCGTACCTGTCAGGTGTCTTCACACTGGACTGTGGTTAAAGCTGAACTTTGACCCCTAAGCTCCTCCTCTGTAGATCAAAAATCCATGTTTATTCTTAATTGTGTTTAATTTTTTAAGTTTGTGTCTCTGAAATGTCCCCATAAACCACATTAACTGGTGTACTCTGCTGTGTGTCAGTGAGCCTGTGGAGTGTGTGCGTGAGAATGAGTGGTGGTAAAAAGAGGAGTGGCTTTCAGATCACCAGCGTGACTTCAGAGGTGAACCAGAGTCCAGCAGACCAATTGTCTCCTAGCGCTGTCCTGCCCATCATCCAATCAGAGGTCTCTCTGCAGTCCCCCCTCTGCAGCCCTCAGGGAAGCTCCTCCCAGCCAACCACACCCTCTCTGAAGAGGAAGTATGTCTCCCTCGATGGCGGGCAGGGGGCGGGGTCTTCCTCCAGGTTCAGGGTGGTGAGACTAGTGAGCGGAGCCGGCGGCGGAGGCCGGGGGGAATCGTATCGTCGCGGGCGATGGATGTGCACAGAGTTCACAGAGCGGCAGGAAGGCCCGGGGTTCAGGCGGGTAATGGACAGCATGAG